GTGAGGTATTTGGCGAGTCGCATGAAGGGTGAGCTGCATCCTGCTAAGGGTGTTCGGCATCTTGTGCTTACTTCCTTGCGTACGGATGACAGCTACGTATGACTTAATTTATTTTCTGATGCTTTCACTTCCAGAGACAGTTGTAAGCACTGTGTAACTGCCTCGAGGATGGTTGACCATTTTAACACAACGTGGTGCGATCATCCCCCGTGCGCGGAGTGAGGGTTCTCCACCCCGCACAACATGATCTACTCGACCACCATTCATGGTTACCGCCAAAAAAAAAAAGAGGTAAAAAAAAAAAAACGGTAACCTGGTTGCCGAGTTCACGAAGTGAATTGGCTTGTTTTACAACGTCGTTGCCAAGCGACGAAAACCCAACCCCGATGGCAAACACCGAGGGGGGGCAGCTTGTTTTACAACGTCCTTGCCAAGCGACGAAAACCCAACCCCGATGGCAAACACCGGGGGGGGGAGAGGTATTCGGCGAGTCGGAGGGGGGGGTACTCTCATGTTTTGCATACCGTAGAGGTTAGACCATTGGCCACACGTCCTCGAGAGGACGGAGCGTTGTTCCCACAGGACCGATCACCGGTGGCTAATCTTTCCTTCCTGCTTTGCCAAAGGTGGCTCAAAAGTGTGGGGTGGGTATTGCCAGGGTTGGGGTGGTTGTGCCCCTTCCAATTTGACGTATTTCCTTTGTCGGCACTCTCAACAAGTGGTTTTCCTTGACTGGCTTCGATTGCAGGCATTGTGGAAGGTACCCAAATATGTGTTCTTAACTCTGCGGCCAAATGTTTGATGTGGCACGGCTGATGCATGTGATAAGAGGATGGAGAAGAACCAAAGCCTGTGCTCTCCGCCATGTGCCGGTAGACATTTACTCTCAACACAATTCAGGAAGCGAAACAATGACGCATGTTTCGTTTCGAATCCCACTCCTCATGCAGCAAGCCTGACACCCAAGCAGAGACAGGTGACACTCTCCTGTCGTAAGATGACAGTCCTGTCGTATAAATGACCTCTGTAAACAAGAAACGCCTCTTTTGGGGCCGAACGCTCAGTTACTTTTTTCTTGCCTACAACAATCAGCCACCCATGCCTCTCGTATCGGATTTAGTGGGCTTCATGTGGCATTTTCCGTAGCCAACTCTTGTTAGACTCTTGTTATTCCATTCAGTGGTCCGCGTGCAATTGGTGAGCCCCAACGTTATCTTGGAGATTCCCGTTCTTCAATATTCTTTCGGGCTCTCTTCCTCCTTGTATCGCAGCGAGGGTACTCACGTGCAGAGCCCAGCTCCAGAGAGTGGCGGTAATCGGCTGCGCCACCACAAACGCCATCATCTGCACCCTTGGAGTTCCCAGCGATCGACGGCAACCGGAGCACCCCCGCCGCGAGCCGCTTGGCGGCTCTACGCTCCAAGAACGTACGTGAAGCGAAGCAGGGGTGGGGGGTGGGATACTCATGTACACGCATGCCATAGGCGTTAGACCTCGCATCCCTACAATGGCGGGATGGAGCGATTTCGTCCGCTCAGGATACGTTTCAGAAGGATGAACCAGAAGAATCTGGTCATCATCCTTATGGGGGGGGGGCATGGAGTGTAACTGGTTTTAGTGTGCCATCGGGGTGCGATGTTTCATCGAAGACCGCCTGCAGTGCTCTGTAACCGGCAGTGGCGAATGAGTCAACTGGGCGGTTGCTGTGCATGGTGCTCTGCTAGGACCTTGGGTGAGCCAGTGTACAAGGCTTCAGAACTTCAAACAGCACCAAGAGAGCATGCCATCACCAAGGCTTTTGATTAGCAAAATGTGGCCGGCATACGGATGGCGCTTTTGGTGTGTAAGCCCTACGCTTCAAAACTCTTCCCGATCATGTCTGCACGACTCATCCGTCCAAAAGCGTGTAGACTAATACATCATCGCCAGCAAATGTATGCATACCTCGTACATTATGTACTCGAAGTGCTTGCGAATATTCTACCTATTACAGACGAGGTGAAGGTTCTGTATAAGCCTTGGGAAATAGTGCCACGGCAGCGGCCGAAGACGCTATCTACACCGAACACCGCCACGTACTGCAGACTCCGCAGCATCCTGTGTGCGCGGCGCGGACATAATTCTCGGTCCACTCTGTCGTTTTGATCATCCCATCCTGCCACACTGCTACAGTATCGCTCGCTGTGTCTCTCTAACCGTAAACGGGAGCAATTATCTGAGAGTCGGCTTGGTCCCTCTGCTGCCGTGCATGCCTGCATTTGACGGCGGAGAAGGCAGGCAGGGTCAAGCATTCCTAACCCTCCCTTTGGAAGCCAGTGTAGAAGCTGCGGTAGAACGGCAAC